TCAGGAGTGATCATTAAATTATACAACCATTCAGACGTGCTAGCATGCCCAACTATACAGAGTTTAGCTGAACCACTGATGCTGGGTGTTAGAACAGAGAATTAACGCACACTGCTATAAAACTTATCATAGATCCAGCATCTGAACCATAAAACTGCTATGTGTGGCTCAGTTCTACAGTTAAACATGGAATAGGAATATGAGGATAATTACCAATTTCCTAGCCCAAATGTTCTTCCTAATTACAAACTAGCTGTGTCCTGAGGGATGCTGTTCTCTACCGTGCTTATTAAATAGTACTTGACTGGGGCTTCACTGACATAGTGTGAATAAGGAATAGTAAATCACATAAAACTTGTGCATTAAAATACTTCTGGATTGAAAAGGGCATCTGTAGATAAATGAGGATGAAACAAAGAGTGGTTCTATAATATACTTTACTTCCGGAGGACAATTCTCTTCATGAATTAAGCATTACTATGCTATTTATTTCTTACAGAGAAAGACAGGAGTTATCCATGGTGTTCCACGTTTGAGACAAAACTGCACACCAGCATTCAGTAGTGAGGACTGACAATGCACAAATCTACTTATTTTTCCTATTGCCCATCTATTTTAGCTGTGTATGTTTTTCTGTCAGTTCCCAGACAAATTTTTTCATTATTATTTAGTGACCACAGTTTCAAACATAGTTAATGTTAAGGTGGACAGAAATAAGGGAAAATTGCAGCCCCAAAAATGACAGTCTGACAAACAGCCTGAGAAGGGCTATATTACCAGTGAAGCCAAACGTAACAATAGGTTGCTATGTACTGCCTCTATAATTAAAGGTACTTGTCTCAAATGTCATTGCTTAAATGAATTAACAATTTCCTGCTAGTGACTACTGAAATGCGAGAGGCTACTGGCCCAGTCTTTACCGGTTACTCAGTGCTGATAAGCTTCAATGAGCCTACTCACAGTGGTGTGACCCCAGAGGTTCACAGTCAGGGTCACTATTTTTTCCACAGTAAACAGCAGCAGCAGCAGGGAGAATTATAATTTCAAACAACTGTAGTAATAAAATAACCATCTGACAATAATAACAATGAGGCAAAAAGATAAAATAGGAAATCTGAAAGATAATATTCAGTTTAGCTAGCTACACAAATTGAGCAATTCTGTAAAGATTTTTGTTTCATTTCCACTACATTTGTATTTCATATCCAACATGAATATTTGTGCCATGCAACCAGAATTTCAGTTACCAATATATGTTCACAGTTCAACTATGGGGATCAGTCAAAACAAAATGAATCAAAACAAAATGTTTTAATTCTATTAGATTTAATATCTAACACAAAGGAAACATATCTGCAACATATAAAAACTCTGTCTGCAGTTGCTTATTTGGAAATAAGCAGGAGAAAGGTTTTTTTTTTTCTTTTTTTTTCTAAGAGTTCTTGATAACATTAATGTTATTTTTCTCCCTCTAATGCGTTATTCTGGTTAACAATTGCATTACTATTGTTAAGAGTGTGAAAATGCAATAAAGGCTTTGAGTATAATTAGGCAAGGAAAACACAAAATTACTGGAGTGACCAACAGATATATTACAAAAAAATAAATAAATAAAATAAAGTAAAATAAAATAAATAAAATAAAATAAAATAAAATAAAATAAAATAAAATAAAATAAAATAAAATAAAATAAAATAAAATAAAATAAAAACCAACAAATATATTTACCCTGATGTCTTAACTTTAGTGTTTTCATGGTGATGTTTATTCCACTGCAACTTCTCTTACATAAATGCATTCTGTAAGATTTGTATTGATGGCTTTATATGTATTCTAATAAGTGAAAACAAACCAATCCAGTTGTCCATTTTTACACATAAAAAGCTCCAAATAACAATGCTTTCTCATTAGTTACTGGGTATTTTTGCAATGCAGTTCTTGTTAGGGCTTAGTTAATGATAAAGTGCTAACTAATGAATTGATACTTTGCAGCTTTTGGACAGTACACAAGTTTACAGATTTTGTTGATACTGCCTTAATCATTAAATGTGTATCCATAATAACAAGACTAACAGCCACTGAAAATAAGCCCTGCAAGCAGTAAGGGCAGCCTAATCTAAAATATCAGAAACAGCAGTTATTATCCACCATCTCAAATGAACACTTAATAACCTGGAACTAAATCCCTTCAGGCTCCATTTATGATATGTACACACTTCTGCTGCAGTGATGACAAATACTGCATTTTCCCAGAACTAATGACCCCTCTATAATATGTACGAGGGCTGACAATTATGTGGAATGAGTCTGTCAACAAACTAACAGAGTGCAGCCATGTTTGAAAAGTTTTATGCCTAAACCACAGGCAAATTTCAGTACTTCCAACCCCTAATAAACCCCTCTGGAGCCATACGGCAATTCTGTAACATGTTCCTGGTCAAAGGAGTCTCTGTATGTGCTTTGCTTATTCGGTTTGGTTACCTTTGGCTATTATATATAATTAGGAGCAACATATGAAAGTAATTAATATGTGACACTTCACTGTGTTCTGACAAAATAGAACTGTCTCATGGGATGTTTTATTGCTCTAGTTGGTGGATGCACTAAAGAATGTTCTCTGTATCTCAAAACCAAAAATTTTTTTATTCCAAGGCACATCTCAAGATTTCAGTGTCGGCAAGGGCGTATCTTACAGGTTTATTCCAGGGATTTTGAGAGCAGTCAGTTAACATATTGCCACAAAGATTAAAGATGCAGAAAATAAATATACCTTCACCTACATTAGCTGTTGTATTTATAGTTTAACTTGGGTCCTGCTGTTGCACGCCCTAGAATCATGGCGGGAGGGGGGGGGGGGAATGGAAGGGTGGGTGGTGGTTGTGGGGGGTGTCAGAAAGCTATGGTGATGAGACTGACATCTTCCCCAGGAAGCAAATTTTGAAAAGTATAAAACTGAATAACCCAAATCCTGCTAGATTTGAACTATTGTTTTCAACAAAAGCCAGCAAATTTGAACATGTACACTGCCTCGTTCCATTAGTGCCACTTTCTATTTCAGGTATTCTCTTACCTGGAATTTCTGGCACGCACTTGTAAGGGCTCCCATTCAAGTGCAAATTCTCCTGGCTGCCAGTCTTCGACGCACATTAGTGAAGTCTGCTATTCCTGTCGACACGTAGGAAACAAGAATTCACAGCTAGGCAGCAGAATTTTTGAACAGAGAAGCTTTATTTAAGTCGTCAAAAGAAAATAGTAAAATATGAATTGGGGAAAATATGGCCTGCTAGCGTGAATTCTCATCATTATGACAGGCTTTTTGAGCTTTGCTCTGATCTGGCATATAATTACTATGTATTCCTGATCTGAAAACTGTATCCCTAAGCATCACAGCAATTCCTGACTCGCACATACAAGCTTCATAACAACAAACTAGTAGAAAACCTTGTCTCAGAAAATTAATTCTTAACTATTGAAAACAAATAGAAATAAAAACAATCAGTTATGCTTCAAATTGCTCCAGGTTAATATGTCAATTAAAAGGTATACTGAGATAAACACATATATGTGGATTTTACCCATGTGAAATATATTTTTTCTAGCAATATCCTTAGCAACATTACAAAGCTTGATATATTTAATTAGTTATAAGAGAAGGAATGAAAGCCTTACACACAGAGAACTGGAACTTCAGTTAAAAATATATGTTGTTTTCTTTCCAAATAGTACATCCAGACTCTATAGCCTACATGCTTCAGCAATTCCTCCCTCAAGTTTAGGGATATCTGTTCTTAATTCCCCATCTCCAATCTGGATGCAGCATAGACACACTGCTCTGTCTCCTGGTTGCTTAATATTTTGTGTTCTGCACAATTTCACCTGGCTGTTTGCCAGCCATAAGAGGAATACATCAGAATGGAAAACCATGCTTGGGATGTAAAACACTGACCCAGCACATCTCATTAGCAGCCTCAGGCACACAGGTTCTTGGAAGCTGTCAGCACAAAATCAAGCTGCTCCCAGAACAAAAGATTTTTGTTGTTGCTCCTGTTGCTTTTGTTTGGCATGTGTGTGTGTCATTGTTTTGTTGTTGTACTTGTTGTTGTTCTTGTTGTTGTTGTTGTTGCTTTTATGTTGTTGGTTGTTTGGGTTTGGTTTGGTTTGGTTTGGTTTGGTTTGGTTTGGTTTGGTTTGGTTTGGTTTGGTTTGGTTTGGTTTGGTTTGGTTTGGTTTCTACCAGAGGAGCAGTGTCCAAGAAGGAACATCTAAGTCCCCATGATGGTATCCCAACCTGATCTCCCAACTGGGGACCAAGTTTAGCTTTTTTCTCCAGACTGTGTTTCACAAACCTCTGCCTGTGTTATTAAGACGGTTTCTTCTATCTTCTCCAACATACAAAGAGACATGCAGATCTGTGCAAGAAAGTCATGCAGGCAGGATGGCCACCCAGGGCAACTTTCTTCTCAACTGCCATCACACCAACAGGGATAAGAGCCAAGGCGACAAGAAGCTCTTGTGCAACCCCACTTTTCACAGCCTTCCTCAGCTACTTAAAGCTGCCTTTCAGACATTAGCAACAGCCTGCTGGGATTATGAGAGACAATGTGGAAGCATTCTCTGAGGATAAGAATCTAGACATACCTTGATTTTTTATATTTATCTATATCTAGATATACACTGACCCTGAAATGACATGTGATAGAAACTGTTTGAAAACTGCTGGCTGTTCTCATGTAGTTCCCAGTGCAACCAGCTGTAGCAGCAAGGTAGTCACAGCACAAACCCCAAACAGAGCTCGCTAGGCAAAGTTTCTCTTTGATTTTCCCATGCATCTCTGTGACAAGAAGAGGAATATATAAGCAAGAGAGGAAGGGAAAGTGAGAAATGAAAGGATGGCAACATCCTTTCCAAGAATGGCAACAGTGCCAGGATACAGAGGAAAGCAGAATAACTGAGCCAGATAGAAAATCAATCAATCAAATAAACAAACAACAGCAACAAAAAAAGCTTTTAAACCACTTTTTTATATTCTGCTAGGCAAACAAAAGACCGTTCTAACAAAAAATTTGAACACATTCTTTGAAGTCTGCTTTCTCAGGTGGCTTTTTTCCCACATTAGGATTTCTCACAATTTTCTGCAGAGTTCTCATTAAACTCACACTAATTTTTAACCTGAACAGCATAGAAAAACATCCACAGCCATTATACAGTACAGTCAGTCCTTGGCATTCAAATCTCATGGAATAACCTTCCTGAAATTCACAATACTTTCAAAAACATCAAGAGATCATTAAAAATGAGTTCCTACTGTTCTGCAGTTTCAAGCTGTTGGGCCTTTTCCTACAGCTCTGCAGGTTTCAATCACATCTTGCATCTTAAGTCCCCAAACAGCCTTAAAACATTACTTTAAATCTGTCTTCAGTCTCTTGAGCTATAGAGTCTTTTATTAAAAGAGGTCCAAACATCCTGCTATCTGAGATACAATCTTAAGAGCTGTCAGTGTTGATTGTAAGTTAAAATAGATGAAATATTGCACTGCAAACAAACCATGGCAAAAGGTTATTTTTACCCTGGCCCAGAAGCAAAGTGCTTTGTAGGACAGAGAGAGGCTTGCACTGGTTCCATCCTCCTGAGCTCACTTTCAGGGCAAATATATACAGAACAATTCAGCCAATGTGAGAATTCACTGCTGCTAGAAGGGCCAGTTCTTCTTCTTGTTCTGCTGGTGTCCAGCCCTACCTCTCCCACCCTACACCAGCCTCACAAAGGGGTCTGACAAGCACTGGGATGGGCACAACGAAATGTAATGTAAGTGAAATTGGGAGTGGAGCTGCAGTGGGGAGGAGTTACACAATGTGTCTTCATATTCAGATTGCCCAATGACACACATCACCACAGACATTAAATATGCTGCACCCACACCACTCTATCACATTGCATATGTAATAAATGTATGTGCCCAAAATCATTTGGACTCAGCAGTTTTCAGCATCTAAGGCTATATCTAGAAGGTTCACCCACACCTTTGCTCTCTTTAGCCTTTAGTATTCTATACAGTATGTCTGGATATTCTGGAAGCTGCCCTGGCAGATTGAATCATTATAGAATATAGCTTCCTTCTTCTTGTTTAAATAGGAGTAATTGTGAATTTACAGCCCCATGCTTTTTCCAAGGTAAGGACTTTATCTGATTCATGTGACCTGTGGATAATCAGTCATCTTTTAGCTAACCTTTTCCTGATGTAGTTCTGACAAGTCTTTGAATGTTGACTGGGAAGTCCTTGCTCTTGTGGGATTCAAGTTGCGCCAGATTCTACGAGCAGAGAAAATCCAACAAGTTCATAATGAATCTCAATCAATCAGGTACGCCTTCTTCATCAAACAGCAGGAATGGTTGAGTGTTTGAATCTCTTCTTCATTGGTAGTTTCTCAGAGTCCCATGCTAATGACCTTCAAGTCACACTATAAGACAAACATCTTAGTCAGCTAGCAAAGCAAAGGTGTCATAGAAATTAGTAAAATAATAATTCACTGTCTATGGAGTTAGTGAGAGTACGCAAAGAGAGAGAAAGAGTCATTTTCAGCAGCTTTGTGTCTCCTCTAGATAAAATTCCAAAGATAGTTTTAGATCCAATTTACAAGGAATTGAGATTTCAATAAAATTTACATCAAGGGAATAAGTAAAAGCAGAAAGTTATTCAGATAGAGCTAAAAGAGAAAATGTGAGGGAGGGTACTGAAAACAGTTAACATTTCTTTGTCTCCAAAGAGAGGAAGCATCTATAAAACATGCAGCTTATTAATTCTCAAAGGGGAAAAAATTTTAACACAATACATTTCATTTCCCAAAACTCAGGAGGCTCTTGCCTTGTTAGCTAGAGACAGACTAATATTCTTAGGTAACAATTCATGCTTTAATTAGCAATTCTAAATGTATCTCTTCTCCCATCTCCCAGGTAATGTACTGACATTATTTTACCTTCAGCCTGAAGAAAGTTTTTTTATATAATAATGCAGACTTCCAAGAGCACGTAAAGTATTGCTTTTTTGAGAGAGTCCTAAAGAATCCGTAATATTTCGTGAGATTGAATTTGTGAGAATTTTGAATTTAAGACAATCTGTAGGGGAAAAAATGTAGCTAATAATAATAATAATATATCATAGATCCTCAAAACAGGCAAACAGGAGATACAGTTTCTGTTAAAATTTAAATTTATGTAAACACAGACTCATAAAATATATATAAAGTTGATGAAAATAGAATACTGAGAAAAACAAGTAATGAGGGAGAGAGAGAGAGAAAGAGAGAGAGAGAGAGAGGAAGGAAGGAAGGAAGGAAGGAAGGAAGGAAGGAAGGAAGGAAGGAAGGAAGGAAGGAAGGAAGGAAGGAAGGAAGGAAGGAAGGAAGGAAGGAAGGAAGGAAGGAAGGAAGGAAGGAAACTAACAGTGAATTATTTTTTTTCATCTGCAGCTTCTGTTACTTTGTGTCTTGTATACTGATCTACTGGTGCAGCACAAGACAAAAGGTCCAATTTCTGGTGTTTCCTAGGGCTCCTACAGGGATGTTTGGGTAGATTTACTATTACCACACCCAACTGCTGGTCCCAATTGTCTGTCTCCCAGGTCCTCAGCCCATCTGAGCCCACAAGTACAATTCCGTGAAGTAGCTGAAGCCAATAGTGAAGGTCTTGCACTGAAACTTGAGTTCTTGCCCTGGGACGGCCAAAATGCAGTCACAATTTCCTATCTGCCATCTTGGCTAGGAAAAGAAGTAACCTGCTGATGATAAGGAGAAAAGAGTGGGTTGGGGTGGTAACATCCCAAACTCTTGCAGCTAAATCAGCCACAGTTCATCTGTCAGAGTCTTAGAACCCCATCAGCAGATATCACAGAGAACCATCAAACACAAAGCATTTGGTCAGCACCAAGGAAAAGACAGAGTTAGTCTGTACAGTCCAGTAAATTTTTAAGATTTATTAAAACAACTGAATAGCAAAGGATTCTAATCTTAATCTAATCTTACTCATGTTAGTAATTAGTAATGTTAATAAGTAAGTAATTACTCATCATGAGTACGTAATCTTGCATGTGTTAGTAATTAGTAATCTAATCTTACTCATGTTAAGAAAGCAACAGATATGAACAAATTAGGAAAACAAGGAGCTAAATTTTTGAACACTTCACCAGGAAGGCACAATGAGAAATTCACCCCTCTGCCTGATGAGTATGATCACATTGCTTTGATATCTGAAACCAGGCAATGAGCAAGGGGGTAACATGATAAACAGCTGGGCTTTTCAAACATTCATAAGGCTGAGTAATGCTTATTTGTACATGGAAGCTGTCTGCTTTATGCTGCCTTTTAACATGCTTGTTTTCTCTCCAGATGAATCAAGGACAAGTAAACTGGAACAGGGGGATGAGTGCCACAGCTTTTGAAATCCAATCTCTCTTACCTTATACTGCTAATTTGGGGATGGAGAAAATTATGTGGTTCAATTTACAATTAGGATTCCTCCATAATGATGCCTTTCCTCCATAGCTCTCACACACAACGCAAAGCTTTTCCAGAAACCTAAAAATAAAGTATATTGCATAGTCCAGCTGTAGTGTTGTTTAACTTGGTGTGACAGATTCATAAACAACAAATATAGACAACACAAAAAGACAGTGAGGTGTTATGACGAAACCTGATTTGAAGAGCATGGCAAAGAAGCAATCTGAGCAGCTGTCAAAAGGGTAGACTTTCTACAATGAGGTTGATGTTCAAAAAAGTTCATTATTATGTGCCTATAGACAGTTTTTCGCAAAGAGGGAATGCATGTTGACATATTGCTTTCACATATTGATGCTCACTCATCCCATCAAAAATAAAAATAATACATTTAAGATAGAGCAAAGCTCTCTGTGTTCCAAGTAGCAAAGGCAAATCCAATAACTTTTATTGGGGAAATAAATAAATAAATACATAAATTCTAAACAATTGCAAAACTCATTAACTAGTATTACTTCTGCTTTGGATTTGACGGATTTCAGCAAATTTAGAAAAACAAACAAACAAAAAAACACACAGATATATATATATATAGCCTTTCAGGAATTTTGAGTGCCACCTCCATTAACCATACCAAATCATCCCTTAGGAACTGGACTGAACAGTTTGATAATATTCTGTATGTTAACTCAGAAACATATTTTACCTTCGTATTTGCTTCTTTTGGAAAGAAGGAAGAATGAATTGTTACCCAGAATGATGGTCTGAGAGTCTAAAATAGCACCATATTACTAAGCAATTGTTAAAGAACTATTTTTCACATCACCAATGTTTCATCATGCAAGATTGAAAAAATAACCCTGCAAAAATAAACAAAGATCGTTGGGAAACACATGTAATACCAGCAGCATCACAAGGTCTCAGTCACAATGCCACGAGCTGGCGCATCAAACCCTTCAAGAAAGAGAAGCCTTTTAAATTGTAAGTCTTTTAAATTGTCTTTTAAAAGAGAAGTCTTTTAAATTGTAAGCCCTTCTTTTGTTTAGCGTGCAGAGTGCCCTCATTGAATCACCAAAATGGCTTCATGTAGTGATTCACATGCACCTTTTTTTTTTCCTTCTGGTTAAACTAGATTTAAATATGATTCAGAGAAAGTTGTAGTATTGTTTATCATTTTGCTATTTCTTCATAGTGTAGGTGATGGCTACAGATGGATGGAGGATAAATGCCATGGAGGATAAATGCCTTTCAACTTAGTGGAGTTTTGCCGTTGAGTTCAGTGCTGCCAGATTTCACCCCAGCTTCATTCATCAGCCAAATAATGGAGTTGAAGTCAGTTCACCTTTAGGAGCAAGCACACTGAGCTACTTAAGATCACTTACTATGGCTTTAGGTAGGAACAGCCTTATAGTTCTTTATTTTGTCCTTGCATAATTTGTTTTCTCTTTCTCCTTTACTCTTTCCCTTTTTTCTCTTACTGGCACCAGCTCTTTTGCGAGCCAGAAGAATCCCTCCATCATTGAAAAAAAATGACAGAGAATCCCAGGCAGGAAAGTTACGTCAGGCACTCCAGAATTCCTTGGCAAGAGCTGTAGTAGTCTCCGGAGATGACTGGAGAATACTAAATCAAATTACTGTAGTGCATTTCACAACATTTTATAAACCAACACTTCCACAAATTTCTTTCTCCTCCTCCCCTGTTATTTCCTCAGTTTACAGCCTTGAACATATAATTCATAAACACATAACATTTCAGTGTGATGTCTAAAATAAAGGACTTACAAGTCAATTTTTCATTATTTGCCCAGATTCTTCTGCCTTTCAGACTCAAACAGCACAACGTTTACAGAAATTGTTAGACTGCCACCTATTGGAAACAGATATACCAATAAAAAAGACCTTGGTTAATCTGCATAAAATATTCGTTTATTACCCAAGTGTTGTTTTAGCTATATCAACTTAAGAAGCTTTAAAATGCATGAACTTCAAGTTCTGTTCATAATCATGTTAAAATTTAGATACATGTATAACTTAAAAAAAGAGCCTCTCAGAGGAGTAGAGAACTAGAAAGTGGTAAATAAAGATTTATAGCCCTGGAGTATTAAACAGCAAAAATCAGAGCAGACCCACAGGAAGAACCACCTGTTTAAAATCTGAGTCATATTATTAAGCTTTGTATTCCCAACTGAAGTAATTTTTATATCAGATCCTGGTTTGGACTCTGCAGAGAGATATGCAATATTTAGGTTCACTCAGTTTAGTTATATTCTAGATTCTGAATGTAAATGAGTAATTTTACCTGCAGAAAATATTTGCCTTGGGATAAAACAGCCCTGTCCTCTCATGGAAATCTTAAAAATTAGGTTTGAATTCACAGTCTTGGAAGAATACAGCAATTTTTTTGTATCAAAGACCTTCAGCTACCATTACTGTTTAGAAGATACTTGGGCAATGTGACAAGTTGACTTCTTTCCCCTATCTGTTTCTCATGAACAAATAAATTCCTGCTTTTTTTTCTCACTCCCTCTTTAACTATACCCTCAGGCCTTCTAGCCTTCATTAAGTGAAAATGTGCTAACTTACCCTTAAAATTCCACTAAACTGCAAAAACTTAGAGCAAGCGACAATCCAACCCAGTTTTGAACCTTGAACTTGATCTGCCTGCCATTTCTCACTGCCCAGCAACCTGCAGGCTGGGAGCATCACTGCCTGAAGAGTATCACTAGTGAAATCCTCATACATCTGCTTCATCTCATCTTTACTATTGCAGCCTCCTCCTCCACAGCTCTTTTAACTCTGACACTAAAATGAACAACTGTGTTGCCTAGCTCTTTTCTGCCCAGCCTGCCAGGCTTGATCAGAATCAGACTGTTCCTCTTCCAAATCCTTCTGTTAATTAGCACTGACCCCTGCCCAGCTCATGACAGCTTTTTGACAGCTCTTTTCATGGTTCTGTTGAGAGACCTACACAAAAACATTGAGCTGGCGCTTTTGTAGATAGTTCTATAAAAAAACAACAAACCAAACCAAACCCAAACCTAAATAAATAAATAAATAAACTGCAGTTAATTATACCTGATGTCACAGCATAGAAAAAGACATATACGACTAACACAAGAAATAAAAAACAATGTGAGGCAAAATATACTGTGTGGGATACTACGCGTATGAATTTCATACATTCAGTCCTCAAAATTATTCTGCTTATCCTCAGAAACTTTTCACTTATCCTCAGTGGTCTGAAATTCCTGACTCAAATTATTTGGCTCAGCAGTGTTTTATAACATGTTTGCATAAATGACATATGGAATGTACGTATGAATTAGTAAAACACTTGATGGTTTTCCTTAGCTATGGTAAGGGCTAGAGACACCTTTTCCATTTGTATTACTTATGACCTGATTTGGAAAGTGATCCTGTTGACAACTATCTAGATCTTAGATGGCTGCAGGATCACTTTTTAAATCAGTTCCTAGCCTGTCACACCTTTATTTCCAGCAGGTGTCTGATATACATTCTCATTCCTCACAAACACTTCTTCTTTTTCCTGTTAGCTTACATCATTCTATCAGTGCACACTTTTTTATTCCTTAGTTTTATCTCTCCTTCCAGATCCCAAAGAGAATTCTCCAGACTTCTTTGTGGTTTATAAAAAGACCTTTTCTCTTATGGCTTTCTTTTGAAACATCAATCATTCTCTATCTACTCTTGGGGCATACTCTCACATATAATTTTGCTCCCCTAACAAGCACATTATCTTCTTCTGGGGACATATTTACATCAAAAGTACATGGGAATCAAAAGCAATATTTCTATGGTGCAGCAGTTGTAGACCTATGTCTGAGAATAATGACATGATTCCTACCTACTCTGTAGCATCTGCACCTTTGTCACATACTAAGAAGAAGGAAATGTGAGGAGAGAACAAAAACAAAAACAAAACACTTGACAAAATTCTCAGTGAATTCAACAGGTTTGCTTCATATTTTGTGCAATATTTCCAACTTTAAATAAGTATCTCTACCACAAGCATTTTAGGTGACAACCAGTACAGATAAAACTTTTGCAAGCTGTATTTGTGACCAGATATTTCATAGTCCAGGTCCTAGGCTAATCCTAGTCCTTTTTTCTTTCCATTTAAACTCTTGGACAAGTCTGGAAGAAATGGAAAATGAACCTGGGACCATTCCCCCACTCTGTGTCTTCCACAGTGGCAGCCATGTGCTCTGCAGTCTGCTGATTCTTTTTCTGCTGGAACACATAAAATGCAAATTAGATCAAGCTGATCTCTATGCTGTTGTTTAGGTACCTGACCTCATTCAAACAGGAAAGGAAAATTGAATATTTTAATTTTCATCCATAGTCTGGGGAAAAAAAAAAAAAAAAAAAGGTAGTTTCAATGTGATCTTCAGCTGTAGACAGCTTATTTCAATCACTCCCTGATTTTTTCTCAAAAGATTTTTGAAAATGTATTTTGAAGAGTTGTATAGAAATAGGAGTTTTTCTGTGTCTCTAGGCTGAAAACAGTAAAGGCAGATTTAGTAGTTGGCCAGGTTATACCAGAACTCTGGGCAGATGACATGGCAACTGTACATGGAAATGAAATTAATAGAATAATATTTTTTATAAACAAGTAATGTCGCTGGTTGAAAACTGAACAAATAAGCATGTAACCACCTTTACCCTCAGTCTGCACAAAACAAACAAATAAAAAACAAATACCAACACACACAAAATGCCACCACCAAAAAAAAAACCTAAGGCCTGAAGCCTTCTTTAGTCATTTTAGGATACCACTGATCATTCAGTTTAACATGAATAGGCATACCAAATGAATGAGGGGATTTATAATTTCCACTTTATGGATTTCTCCCCTGTGATATAAGTATCTGTAAAAAGCTCCCATGAGGTATGGAGAGAGATGCCTTTAACCTTTGCATATATAATTTTGGATCAGCTTAGCATCGTTTTGCTCGGAATTAAACCATATGTCACCTAATGGCTCAGGGGAAATACTGGCATATGGAGCTTTTTGTGCTTTCACTGCCAGTTTGAATCCAGCCCAGGTCAGTAACAACCCACACGGCTGCATCTGAAGGTTGTTGGGTAATCTGTGTGAAATGAGTTGGCCATCTCAGCCCAGATCCTACAGCAAAGTTGTCCACCAGAACATGACCACTGCAGATGGCTCAAACTTGCCCTTCTGTCAGCACTGTCATCAAGTCAGCCAGAGCTTAAATAAGTAGAGAATGTGCATGAGTTTTCACAGTGTAGAAGCCATATCCTCATATTGCTGACACACAGGACAATTCTTTGAGACACAGCCCTATTCTAGGACCTATGGTACTCCTCAGCCATTCACATATCGTTATTTTGCATTAACATTACACCACCTCCTCACAGCAATTCCTTCATACAGATGTAACCTATTAGGCAGATCAAAGTTTAATGTCTGCATAAATGCTTCACACAGTATAATAGTTCTTTGGGTAATGACAACTCTGTTGTCTGAAGTGAAGATTCAGACTTGGTAAAAGCATAATAAGCCTTCTCAAAAAGAAGGAGAATGCAGAACTAAACAGTACCACGATGAGGGGAGGTTAAAAGATGTAATTATTTTATGAATGTTGAAGAAAATACTACAGAATAATAAGCAGTTAATTGTCTTTGAAATACAATCCAGGAGTAGCAAAGAATTAAATAATAATATTAATATGTGCATTGCAGCATTATACTAGAGAATACTGAAAGCCTAAGAAAAAAAAAAAAAAAGATATTAAAAAGCCTCTTAGGAAAAATTACTAGGGAGCCTTTTCCTAATGATTAACAGGAGGCAAGGGATTTTCACCGTATCAGTATGACATGTAAGTTTTCTCTTTGCAGTAGTGAAAACACTGCATGTCTGTATTATCAGTTCTCAGTTAGGTTTCAAAAAGCATAATTCTGTTTCTATTTCCTACTGAAAAAATTATGAAGACAGATATTTTAATGCATAGTGTGACACCAACGTACAGCTGGGAAATGAAGGTAGGCAAATTAATTGATAATGCAGTTCTTTATGCACTCTGTGGGAGCTGTGTCACAAAGGAGGCTAATGTAGGTGTTTACAAAGAAAACAGAAACAGGGAGATGATTTCAAAAACAGGACTATTCTTCCTGATCAGGCACTATTCCACACATTGCTAGATAACCAAAGGACTTACATGAAAGAATTAGTGTGAGCGAGTCACTACTTCACTGATGAAACAAACCATTTCTACCTATTTATGCATTTTTTTGTGTTATTAGGCTTGATATTTTGCAGTGCTTTTTCCTATCACCATTTTGCAAAGTAGGTATGCCAGAGAAGTGGCATGCACAGTTTGCACATTTGCCTTTTTTTTTTTCCTCTCTATTGTAAATTATATTGTTATTTTAGAAAGGATACATATTATGTCAAGTGCTGAAAAGGACACTGTCAGATTCAATATATGCTCCCCTTCGTCACTATAGTAACTAGACTGTTATCTGTATCTCAGCTCTTCCTTCTGTGTCAGACTTGACTCGCTCACACACAAGGCTCCATGCTCCCCATCTCTCAGAGTCTCTTTCTGCACCTCTCCTATGCTGTTAAGCCTCATAAGCAGAGCTGTTGCAAAGATGCCAAGAGAGGGTGCCACTGGTGCTGTAACTTTGTGTGAAAAGATCTCAAATGAGGGTATGGGTGCATATGTTTCTGTCCCCACTGACTGCTGCACCCCAAGCAGTAAGTTGAGCAAGCAATACTTTAGAAGATGAAGAAATGGCTGGTGAGAGCTGTGTGCCATGTAGGGAGCTTGCAGACCCACTTCCATGTCTGCAAGAAATGGAAAAGTGAAGCATTATTGAGGGACAACATGATATAGACACAGTACATAAACCTTTCTGCAAAACTGCTCGGCTGCAGCCCAATGTTTACTTCTTACAGTGTACAAAGACGTGTTACTGGAAGTTATCTTAAATTCTCTTCAAAACTCTTCCCAACTACCTCTGTTTACACCCACCTATAGATCAGAGGTTGATCTGATAAACGTCAGCCTTTGTTATAAAGTCAAGCCATCACTTCTAAAGCATTTTCTTTCAGATAATTCAGGTTATTATGATATGTTCATGCAATACACCTATATTTGCTTTTTTCTCTTCAAATTTTAATTTTTGCCTTGTATTTCTATTAGGATGAAGACTTGCAGGATTTCTGAAAATCTGTGGATTGAAAACTGGCTGAAAAACAGGACCCAGAGGGTACTTGTCAGTTGTGCAGTTCTAGTTGGAGCCTAGTAAAAAGTAGAGTACCCTAGGACTCAATACTGGGTCCAGTCCTGTTTAACAGTTTAGTTAATGATCTGTGCACCCTCAATAAATTCACAGGTGACACAAAATGCAGGGAAGTGCATGACTCATTAAAGGGCTACATGGTCATCCAGAGGGACTTCAGCAGGCAGGCTGACAAAGGTGGGCTGACAAAAATCTCATTAAATTCAACAACAAGAAGTGTGGAGTCCTGTACCTGGGAGGAACAACCCCAGGCATGAGGACATGCTGGGGGTCACCCATCTGGAAAGCTGCTTTTCAGGAAAGGACCTGGGAGTATGGTAGACACCAAGTGTCTTGCAGCCAGATTGGACTAAAAGACAAAATATTAACAAGAGTAAATATTACTCTGAAGCAGAAATTTCTGTGAAAAACTGTACAAAACAAAAACTTGATTTGGAGCTACTCAAACATGTTCCCTCATCCAAATCATCAATAAAGATATTAAAGAGGATGGGTCCCAACACCAACCCCTGTGGAACACCACTGCTGACCAGACACCAGCTGGATTTCACTCCATTCACCACCATTCTCTGGGCCAAGTCGTCCAGCCAGTTTTCAACCCAGCAGACGGTGTACCTGTCCAGCCCATGGGCTGTCAACTTCTCCAGGAGAATACTGTGGGAGACCATGTCAAAGGTCTTGCTGAAGTCTAGGTAGACTATGTCAACAGCCTTTCCCTCATCCACCAGGCGGGTCACCTGGTCATGGAAGGAGATGTGGTTGGTCAGGCAGGACTTGCCTTTCATGATCCCATGCTAACGGGGCCTGATCTCCTGGTGGTCCTGCACACATTGCATGATTATATTCAAGATGGCCTGTTCCATAACTATCCCTGATACTAAGGTCAGGCTGACAGGCTTGTAGTTCCCTGGATCCTTCTTACCACCTTTCTTATACATGGGCACATTAGGAAGTGTCCAGTCATCTAGACCTCTCTGGATGGCCAGGACTATGAATACAATATCATTGTTGTAGAGTAAAACCAATCACAAACAAAATTTGCTACATTTTTGAAAAACTTTGCATAATCTACCTTTAAAAAAAAAAAAAAAAAAAAAAACTTTTGTTAATGCCATAAAAATATCACCTTCATCTCAAGGTGTTTTATATATGGAAGCACCATTTCTTCTCGTACAGTTACACAATTCCAAGAAATACCTTTACTGAGGCACTTCCTTCACCTCTTTGACTACAAACTCAGTGTTGCTCTCTTTTCCCTAGTTACATACTTTTCTTCCTGTGATGACTCACACCACAGGTGCTATTCCTCTTATGTTGCCAAATTCCAGTCTGAGAAATACTCATAAGAAATTACAGTTCTCACACAATGTTGCACAAGGAGTTTGAAAATAGTTATGGTACAGACCAGCCATCTTTTCTCTGATTTCTCTGCTATTGCATCCACATATCCCCTCTTGCATACTTTTTGCTTCCATAATATTGCTATTTATCACACTTCCTGGTAAGTTTTTCAGACTAAGTATAAACCTATATTAAACATGATTTGCTAAGAATGCTAACAGCTTGAAATATGCCACTGATGCACACAGCTTGTTCCATCATTCTAAGTATGCCATAGATCAAACTATCTACCTATGATGGTGAGCATATTAAATCACTTGAAGTTCCATTTGCATGATCATCTTTCCAAACATTCTTGCTATGTTGCTGACTCAAGCACTTTGAAAGACTGACTTGAAATTACTATTTAAAAAAAATGTGAACATTGTCTCACTGAGTATGCAGGAAATGAAATGTGTTAGCTCTTATCCATTTCAAATTAGATTGAGCACATAACTGTCTAACGTGAGCACACCTAGCAATAGTTTACATTTGTCTCTCCAGTAAGCTTTTTAATCAAAAGTAATTTAGTGTTAAGCATATCGAAAAGCCTTTCATTAGCTGTGGATGGGGCTTGATTTATTCATATGCTATGCGACATATGTTGCTGATGTTGTAGCCTACTACATCTCCAATTTTAAGTAAGTGCTTCAGTTCTGGTTGATATGTTTGCAAAGAGCCCATTTACAGTTTTATATCATTCAAGGCAGGAACGTTCAGTGCTCAAGGTGGCTGGTTTGCGTTGGTGACTGAATCACAGAACTAGTCACAGGACATGAGGTGGCAGCTGAGAAGGGGTTTTTTGTTTGCTTGGGTCATGTTGGGTTTTGGTTTTATCAAAGTACTTTCAGGGCATGATTTTCATTTGCATACTGTTTTTGCAGCAGTTGCAGTTACCTCTCTGCAGTGCCTCTGCAGAACTGAGATGCTGTTCAGAACTTTTCAAGTATGCAACAGCCAAGGTCACAAGGCCTTATTTTGCATCAGGAAACTGTCCTGAACAAGATATTCATTGCACAATTCCACTGCATGGAAAAGCAAAGCTCAGTGGTAGTGTCAAGACCTGGCTGTGGAAAGTGGTTCAATGTCTACATGTACCAAGATGTTATCAAGCAATGCACACTGGACTAGAGTTATAAAATGTATGTAGGAAATACAGGGGGACTTTTGAGAATCCTGTTTAGTTTCTCATTATACATAGACATTTCTGATAACTGTCATGTACCTCTGCATGCCAGCTATGTGTTTTTCAAAAAGCTTTGCCTCACTTCCTTGCATTGTAGTTACACACTCCAGACTTGACAAGGAAAAAGAAAAAAAATAAAATAAAATTTAATGTCTTCTTTTGTCTATTTAGTTTTAAGCTTTTTAGAACAAGTTTCTCATATTGTATGATGGAGATCCTGGCCACCACTGAGGTAAGTGAACATTTTATTGTAATCTCACCAGAGCCAAGATTTCACATCTGTTTATAGAGCAACTATCCTGAAGGATCACTTTAGCTTTACATCAGCTAGATACTGTCAGAAAATGAGAGTCATATTGTCAATCTCATATCAGTATGGATATCAGTTGTGCCACCAGTCAGACAGGAGCATGCATAAACAGGTATTTTTCTCTGGTGCCTCAGATAGCTCAACAAGACCGCATGTTACCTTACACATTTATGTAACTGAAAGGCAGATGGTTGAAACACTGTTGTGAAAATGCTCAGTGCTTTTAAAAAATTGAAAACTGAAGTGCTCCAATATATTGCAGAATCCTGAGATAATCTCTACAGACAGACTCCAACTGGGCAGAGCAACAACATTGCTTGAATAGTTTCTTAGCATGCCAAAGATACTACAACAGACTGAACAACATACCAGTATGAAATCTTTCAAGATGCTTGCTCACAGTTCACAGATTCAGTTCTATGGAAGCAAGTGTTCCAAATTCCCTCAGTATTGTGCACTTCTGGAGAGCTCCCTTTGCTATTAGAAAGTTGCTGACTATTTCTGGTAAGAATTGTTAAAAATGCTCCAGCGATGAAACTAGGAGGCTCTTGCCAATTCAGGAGTCTTGGAAAAGGGTAAAAGGAGAGACAAGCAGCTCACCAGAATATAAAATAAAGTTCTGTTCCTTTCATCCCAAGGAATGTAATTCAGATGAATATCCATCACCCCAAATATTTGCGTCTTTGCTAAATACATGCCATCTCATGTGTGGCAGGAGATACAGTTCAGCCACATTTCCTCAGTACTGACCTCGTGTCTCTGAAGAGTTTAAGGTGCGGAACAGAAACTGAAATTTTACTCTCTTCTTTCCCCCATAACCATGAAGGATGAAAACTTGTTTTTAAATACCTGTGCTACATGCCCATACCTGAGTCTGTTCCTGCAGCTCTTTCCCTTTGACGATATTTGAACCTTACATTCAATTTCAGCCAAAAGAGAGAGAGAGAGGTATGTCAAAAGAAGTTGCTTGAAAATAGGCAGGCAATGAAAAGTCAGAGACCGTATTAGTACACTGGAGATGGTGAAACAAAAGTATGCATTCAGACATTATTAGACACCTGAGATATCCCATCAAAGAGAAACTTGGTGTTTCTCAACAATCTCTGAATATTCCAGTTTCCATAGAAGATTAGTTTGAAGCTCATACTTATTAATCCCATAAGGCAGAGAAATCTACTGGAAACTAAGTCTTTACAGTTCTGGTTCCTGGAGTAAGGTTTTTATTTGTGTTTTTTGTTTATTATTTTGTTTGTTTGTTTGTTTTCATTCTCCCACAGCCCTCTTCTTCATTCATTGTCTCACAAATCAGCTTCATTTTTCTGTGTGTGATGAACTGTCTAAAACCTGCTAAAATAGTCTCCATCAGTATCACCCTGATTCCACTTTGCTTCCACGTCCTTTCATCCAGCCCCTGGGACCAACTGCCTCTAGTTATCCATTACTTCACGTAAAGAAGAAAGGCACCAGGGCCCTACAGTAATAAAGGAGTAAGGCATATCTTCTACATAGGCAGAAAAGAGACTTTCTCCAGCCTCTCATCACTGGGAAAGTATTTCCTGCCTATCTCATTTGACAAGAGAACTTCCCACCTGCTCATCTTGCTGCCCCACAAAGATCTTAATCTGCAGGGGGCTGACTGGTGTTTTACAATTTATGTTTCTGAATCAGTATGCTCTCAAAGGCAATCTTCACCTAAGCTAGAGCAGAGTCAAGAAAGTGATGCAAAGACGGGCACAGTTAACTTGCAATGTTTCCTTCATGAAAAATGGGTATTATTTGCATTATGAATGGACATTATTACTTGCATTTACAATGCAGTTATCTGTCTCAATACAACAATACTGTATGAACAAAGATATAGTTCATGATATGGAACAAGGGAGGGAAAGAAAATATAAATGTACAAAAATTGTTCTTATACATTAACTTGGCAATATTAAAAAAAAAAAAAAAAAAAAAAAAAAAAAAAAAAAAAACCACGATGGTTTTTATTTAAACAAAAAAAAAATCAAGATTGTTTAATTAAATAAGGTTTTTGTCATGTGGAACTTAAATATTTTATTCCACCAGCAAAACCTGCTGATGCATTGTAGAGATATTCTATCAAACAGATGGAAACAGAATCTGGATAAACATTGCCACCTAGCGGAGCCCTCCCTGACAGAGAATACTGCAGCAACCTCATGACTTCACTGCAGAACAATTAACTAGGAGCTGGTATTGATTTTTAATAAAAAATGTTTTCTAAAATACACAAGCAACAGAAAGTCTTCTACACAGGCTGCGCAGACAGAAAGAATATTACAATTTTGGTTAGTTGAATCTTGGCTGGGATATCTTAATTGGAAACCTTTTACCCCGAAGCAGTGTTTCGAATCAGAAGTAAAACAAATGCAATTCTTTGTTCCGTTTTATGAGTGCATGACTACTAAAGTGCTTTGTTTCCCATTATAGAACCCCACTTCACAAGCAAGGAGACTGAACATTAATTGTGCTCACAGAGGTGTACCCTTTAGGGCAGGTTTGAAGAACAGTGGGTAGTGTGGGAAAATATGAAGCACTCCTTCTTAAGACACAGCAATTCATAGACACAGACAATCTTGTCAGCCCAGCAACTTTCCCAAACATGAAACTTACTTTAAAAATTGAGATGTTTAGCTCTGAGCTCAGATGAGTCAGTGAGTTATCTGGGGAGTCATTAATGAACGTCAAATAGAGAAAGTCACAAAGAGATGAGTCATATCACCATAACACCAAAGAAATAAGTTTTAGCTCTTCTAGTTCTTACTCTCATTGTGGCTTTTTGTTTGCTTGTTCTGTTGTGTTGTTTGTTTTTTTTTCTCTCTCCCTCTCTCTCATCATTCAGAATAATTTCCAGCTATTGCACTTCAATTTTAGTTTCTGTAATGATATTTTTCTATAGAGCTGACTCACAGATGAAGGATTTGTCCTCCTGATATGGTATTAAACAACCTCTAGACTCTGGTTTCCTGATTTTTTCTTCCCCTGAGTCAGCTTCTGTTAGCCCTAAAGCCTTTTCACTATGAAGCAGCAAAAGTTCAGTTCCCTCTCTAGCATTATCACTCCTCAAGTGGGACAGCTGGTAAGCTACAGCAGTGCTAGAGACAGCAGTAGCACCAGAGATTGCACCTTCTTCTGCAAGTTCATTACAAGGGTATCCTCACACAAGCTTCATAATATTTGATCTAAAACAACACTTTAC